TTCATTATGTCCTGACTGAACAGCCCAAAGGGATAGAGCCTAGAGACCAAAAAAGCGACAGACATCTTAAACCCTCTTTCTCAGTCTGCCTAGTTATTCCACAGGATAAATGACCCAGTCTTGTAAAATGTACACCAACTAGCCCTAGCCGGTTTGGCTCAGTGGATAGAGCGTCGGTCTGTGAACTGAAAGTCCCAGGATCTATTCCAATCAAGGGCACATGCCTGGGTGTAGGCTCTATCCCCGGGGGGGGGGACTTGCAGGAGGCAGCCGATCCATGATTTTCTCTCATCATGGATGTTTCTATCTCTCTCTCCCTCTTCCTTCCTTTCTGAAATCAATAAAAATATATTTTTTAAATGTACACCAACTAAAAGGAAGGCATTCTTTTATAGATTAGAGAAGACTTAAGGGACCTACAGCCAAAGGCAACTGTGACAAGACAGTTTTGAAGTAATCAGAGAAAATTGAACCCGAGTATTAGATAGCATTAAGGAATTGTTATTAATTGTTATTTAATGGTATGGTGAGTATGGTTTAAAACCTCTCTCAGAGATCTTTTCCTTATGTCTACAGATTTTTTCAAGTTATTTTTTGAAGTGTGGCTTTAAGTGAGGTTCCCGGGCATCTGGACAACAGATCGAAGTGGTGACTTTGAACCCCCAGGGAAACATTCCTGGGGCTCTGTGACACTCAGTTCTCCATCAAACGCCCAAGTCAACAGGGAAGTCTTCAGAAGCTGCAAGTGAGAAACTGGAGTCCTAAAGAGAATGCTTAAAAAAAGATTTATTGTATTTAAATATTCTGTTAGCTCAAGTTGATTGAAGTGGGAAAACTTTCTTGGCAAATAAAAACCAAACCGTTCAAGGCCTTGAGCACAGGCTGCAGGTTCAAAGTCCAAGGCTGCCACTCCCTGCTCTATGGCCTTGGGCCAGCAACTTACTAGTAGCTCTCTGTGCCTCCGTTTCCCTGTCTACAAAAGTGGGTGGGGGTGATAATGCCAACCTCATAGGGTTGTTGTGAGGAGGAATTAAGTTACATAGCTACATACAAGAAAAGTGCTTAGAACAGTGCTAGCACATATGAAGCGCATTGTGTTATTAAATACAATAAATCCTTTTTTAAGCATTTAATTTTCAGAATAAATTTACCAGCCATGTATATTGCCCCTTTTCGTTTTCCAAAGGAAATAAAGTTTATTGAGATTCTTCAATTACTGTCTCGGATTTAAATAGTGACTGTGTCAGTGGGGAACTAACTATAACCATAGGTCAGGACATCTCCCCTACCCCTTCCTGCAATGGTGCGCCCTCTTCTGGCTGACTCCCGGTGGTGCTCCGGTCTGAGGAGTGGAGGAGCTCAAGGCAGCCATGAGGACCACCTCCTACCCCTTGGTCCAGGTTGCATGCCCGAAGAAGAGACTAATGCACTGGTGCAGGGGAGTGGGGAGGAAGCAGAGGGCATCCTAGAGGGCGGACACAGCAGAAGGGACGGTGCAGAGACAAGAATATGCAGGATTGTCGGTACACCCTGTAGTTCATCGGACACGCAGGAAGGCGGTCATAGAAGTGAGTGGGGAATGTGCCCAACCACGCCCAGGATTCTATTTCATGTGCCATGCGGCTCCGTCTACTGTGAGCAGAGATGGAGGCAGCTGTGTGACCGGCCTCGGATCGGTGTGTGGGTTAGCACAGGCCGATGATGCTGAGGCCACTGAAGCACACTCGTGCCGGCTGGGAGCTGTGTGGATGGCTGTCAGCACTAGAACAGGATACACTTACGGCTTACATTTCCCTTTGTCTCAAGATATAAAATGAGCAAAAGGTCTTCTGCAGCTGATCCCATTTTTCTGTGGCTTCATGCACAAGCACCGGCTGCCTCTACGCGACTCGGTCACTGCGCACAGCCCATTCTAACCTGGATGTCTGCAGCCTGCCCCGAATTCCCGTCACCGCACAGCCATCTCCACACCTGGAGGCCCACGCAAGGCAGCAGGGCAGGAACTGGGCTCTGACCACTCACTTGCTCACTTGCAGCGTGACTTTGCACAAGCTCATCTCTGAACCTCAAATTCCTCAGGAAAACAGTGATTGCTATTCCTGGTGTAAGACTACGTGAGGGAGTAATGTGCGTCAGTGTGCACCGGAAAGTGTCAAGCGACACACAGAAGTAAGAAGCAGTGGCACTGATGGATACCCTTATGCGCTGTAGTCAGCCTCTCTCCACCTCTCGAGACCCGAGGCTATAAATGCGCGGGAAGCAGACAGCATTCATGTCCCGGGAGAAAGGGTGCGGGAGGCACGTAGCAATAATACTGCCAGCTCAGAGTAAATATTGATGTTACAGAAAGACTGCTCCCAGACCCCTGGTGTTTTGGGTCCTCCCTTTCTCTGTTCTACTTCTCTGCTCTTTCTATTTCCACGGCCCCTGTCACCATGGTGTCCCGGTACCCAAATAAACACAGTAAGCTGAACACAGCCATTTATGGGAAGACACGCTCCCCTTCTGAAGCCGTATCTGCGGAAGCTGAGCTGGAAGGAGGAGGACAAGGTGGACCAGGCTCCCTGGATGATGGAATATTGGGAAAGAAGAGACGCAAAAAGCACATATCTAGCAAATGGCCACAGGGAGTAACACGTTATCAGCTGTCGGGAGATTCAGGGTAACGATTCCTGTTCCTTGCCCTCAAGGACTTGAGGACTCTAAGGCAGGCTCTCCAAACACACAGCACGGGGACATGAGATGACACCAGGGCTGTTCCTGCCAAAGGTGGACACGCACAGATGAGAGCTCATCTCCAGAACGACACCAGCCCAACCCACAAGTGAGCTCTGTGCCGTCTCCTCGGGCCTCCCAGCTAACAGATAAAAGCCATCACCATGGAGATGTTACAGGAAGGGGAAGCTTGTTCCAAACCAAGATGATTCTCATCAGAAAGCCAGCCCCTTTTGAGCCAGAATTTGTAAACGTCTCAAAGAGCTCAAACACATAAGCCAGAGCCTTGGTCTTAGATCCGCTTCTGCCATTATGTCACTGGGTAAGCTCAAGTGATTACGTAAATCTCATCTGGTAAATGGTTTTTTAAAACCCTGCGGAGCTGGCTGAATCCCTAGCACCTTGACCACATTTTACAAACCGCAGGTCGGAGTATGTTAGACCAAACATCCCTATTCTGTTTCTAAAAGCAGGAGGCCTTCCAGGGGGTGTGGAGTGAATGTGGGTGTAATGGTGCTTCTGGGACCTATGACTGTTTGTGGCCACCATCACAGCAGACTATTACCAACAGGGCTGTCCCAGAAAGCCCGCCACAAGGGATGAATTTTTAGAATCAGGTCATAAATTTCAATTTTAAAATACCACCTGTTGGGACTTTGATAGGGATTGCATTAAATCTACAGATCAATTTGGGGAGAATTGGTATTTTAACTGTATTGAGTTTTCTGACCCGTGAATAAGATGCCTCTCAACTTATTTAGGTCTTTAATTTGTCAACATTTTGCATTTTCAGTGTTCAGGTCTTACACATCTTTTGTTAGGTTTGTTCCCTAAATAGTTCATATTTTTATGCTATTGTAAGTGGTACCTTAAATATTTTCAGTTTCTGATTGTTAGTACTCAGTGACTTTTTAATGTTTATTTTTATTTCTTAATTTCTTAAGAGTTCTTTATGTTTCTGTTTTTTGTTTAAAAGTATCCCATACTTGTTTTTCTCATGCTAAGAATGTGAACTTTTTTTCCTTCTGCTCCCTGAATAGTCTGCTTTCTCCAGGTTTTTAATTTTGGGGGAGGTCTTTACCTCTCATGGCAGTCCATTCATCAAGAGGGAGACACTAAAAAGCCAACCAGAAGCTCTGCATGCATGGGCGAGGTTGGTTCACTAATAGCCCTCTCTGCAGGGTAACTGCCCATTTCACAAGAAACCCTCAGTGTCAGAATCTAGTATCTTTGCCTTAGGCTAGACAGGCTCTCCAAAGAATCATCCAGTTGGCCCAGAGAGCCTAGTTCAAAGTCCACAACAATTATCAAGAAGCCAAACAATTCTGAATTACCAACTGGTAACCATAAGTGGTAATTCTTAATGTTTCATCCCATCCAATGAGGCTGCATTATTCCATTTTTGGAAAAATAAACTATTGTCTGGCTGGCGTATGACTCAGTGGTTAAGCACTGGCCTATAAACCAGGAGATCATAATTTGATTCCAGGTCAGGCCACATGCCAGGGTTGCAGGCTCAATCACCAATGGGGGGCGTGCAGGAGGTAGCCAATCAATTATTGTCATCATTGATGTTTCTTTTTTAAAAAAAATATATTTTATTGATTTTTAAAGAGAGGAAGGGAGAGGGATAGAGAGTTAGAAACATCAATGAGAGAGACATCGATCAGCTGCCTCCTGCACACCCCTCACTGGGGATGTGCCCGCAACCAAGGTACATGCCCTTCACCGGAATCGAACCTGGGACCCTTCAGTCCGCAGGCCGACACTCCATCCACTGAGCCAAAGCGGTTAGGGCATCACTGATGTTTCTATCTCTCCTTCTCCCTTCTCTGAAATCAATAAAACTATATTTTAAAATTAGAAAAAAAAAGAAAAACAGAGTATTTAGTGATGTGTGTTTAGGTTGTGTGCTTTGAATCTCTCCTCCTGTCTCATCTTTCCTTCGCTGCAGACAGGAAAGTTGTTCACTTTTGAAGACTCATGTGATAAACTGGACCCACTGGGATCATCTAGGCCAGCGGTTCTCAACCTGTGGGTCGAGACCCCTTTGGCGGTCGCCTAAGACCATCCTGCATATCAGATATTTACATTACGATTCGTAACAGTAGCAACATTACAGATATGAAGTAGCAATGAAAATAATTTTATGGTTGGGTCACATGAGGAACTGTATTTAAAGGGCCAGAAGATTGAGAACCACTGACTAGGCAAACCTCCCCACCTAAAGGTCAGAACGTTTAATGACATCTGCAAAATTCCTCCCAGCATGAAGGTTACATATTCACAGGTCCCAGGCATTAGGAAGTGGCTGTCTTGGGGGCTGGGAGCCATAGCAGTGTGAGTGTGTGTGTGTGTGCTTTGGAACCCTCAGGGTTGGAATCCTGCTTCTACCTCTTAATGGCTGAGCAATCTTGGGCAGGTTAAATTTCCCATCTTTATAATGATGGTATCTACCTCATCTTTCAGAGAATTACATCACATGTATATTTAGCAGGATGCCTACCATACATAAATGCTCAGTACATGTTAGCTATTAATGTTAAATATTAAATGAGGAACCTTTTCTTATCTCAGTTAAATTTCATCTGATTGTCCAAAACCTACCAAGATAGTTTTTAATCTTGATTCTGTGGCCTTCAGCATTATAACTTCCTATGAGATCTGCGTTCTCTTCCCTTTGATAAGCATGCTGGTTCATCTTAGTCACAAAGACACGGTCAAGCTGCAGCCTTGGTACCAAGGAATGCAACCCTCGTCTGTGAAAACAATTTCATGTGGGAGACCCTAACTCTATGGGTGAAGTGTTGAACGGGGGGAAAAAAATACAAAGGCTTTGCCCTAGATGGTTTGGCTCAGTGGATAGAGCATCAGCCCATGTGGACTTAAGAGTCCTGGGTTCAATTCCAGTCAAGGGCACATGAATTACCAACTGATAAACCTAAGTGGTAGCCTTGATGTTTCATCCCATCCAATGAAGCTGCGGGGGGGCGGGGGGGGGCGGTCAGGAAGCAGCCAAAACCTTGGGCCTTTAATGACAAAACAGCTACTTCATTAGAATAAACTAAAAAAACACCCTGACCAGGTATAATATTGCTCTTGACTTCTCTTAGTATTTATTTCTGGAAGAAAAAAACAAAACAAAACCAGAAATTATAACCAAATTACCAAATCAACTCAAACATTTCAAGGTTGTCTAGAAGCTTTAGCCTACGTGATTACTGCCACACAAAGGAGTGATGTACGTTTCCAGGTCAGGAACTGCCACTCATCCAATGCTTCTATTCATTCAGTTATCAGTTCTGTGATTTACATAAAAGGATTTAAGTTATATAATAGAACTGAGTATATATACACTTTCTGCTCTTGAAAATAAAGGAGTCATTAACAAATCTACAGAGAATGTTTTCAGTTATAGAAAAGGGTCCAGAAGTATTTCACCTGGTTCAACTTCATGGTGGCATTGATGAAAGAATAAGATGGGTCACTGGCCTAAGACTGACAAAAAACCATTACAGGTTTAAAGATAGGGAGGCCCTCTGTCAAACAATTCTCAATGCTTTCATGTGATTGATTGTATATTAGCACGTGAGTCAAAGGTGAAATGTAGGCTATTATGGATTCTTAAAATATATAGTTATGGCTTGTCACTGAAAAGGGAACTCTGAAGACAGGTGCATTGAGCATGAAATGTCAAACTAGCCTGTGCTCCTGGTGGTTTCAGTGTGCTGTCGAAATTAAGGTGCCTTTAGTTCTACCCTTTTCTGTATCATTTTTCTCTCCCAGCTAAGTTCTCTCACATAGCAGAACGGCCATAGCAGTCACAGGCCTACCTCACACAGGCAGACCACACTCCTCGGGGAAAGCATCTACTCACCATTTTCAACAAATCCTGCTTCCCTGCCTTTGAATCAACCTAGTTTTACCCGATCAACCCAGAACCAAATTACCTTGTTTAAAGCAATAGTTCCCAAGCCAGAAAACCTGACACCCTTTTATTATGCTGAAATAATATTCCTAGATAGGTATAATATCAGCCTACTTACACACACACACACACACACACACACACAGGAAACAAAAACTACAATAAAACCGTAACTTGACATAAAGGAGAAATAAAACAATAAATCCACATTGTGATACGTAAATGCTCAGGAATGGCTATAATATTAGACATAAAGAAATGAATGTAACTGCTACAAATGAAAACTGACCTTGATGTGTTGTAATATTAACTCAAATCCCTGACATGTAGTAATATTAACTCAAATACCACTTTGATGATGTCGTTTTCCAAAATGGTGAAGAACTCTTTGAAATATTCTAAACAAAACAATCATCTTTACTTGATTCACAAAGTAGTCGCATTCCTAGAAAATTCAGGGTATAATACACAAAAATACTTTGTCTTTATATACACATTCTAGGATATGATAACATCTGATGGGATACTGGAAAGTCATGTAGGACACAGCACAATTCTTTCTGGTCCCTGCCCATCAAATATTTATAATATCCTCCAAACTGGGGGAAAAAGTAACCCTAATAAACTGTCAAAATGTCCCCAAGAGGGGCAGTACAAGACTAAGTCCAGGAATGGAGGGTGGCGAGGCAACAATATCCACCACTTCTAACTTCCTCATTCATAAATTAAAACTAAGAGAATTTCAAGTGCTCCCTCAAATAAAGGCCTTCATATTGAAGATGTTTTAATTAGTCAAGCAAAGTCCACTATATTTGTTCAAATTCAAAGCATGTTACAATTGAGATGGCTAGGAGGGTGATCAGGTTTCAATGAACCCTTGAATCCGTTTGGTGGAAATGCTAGGTTCCAGGAAAAAGCAATGACCTTGAAAAAGCCGCTTACAGGCTGGCACCATTTTGGGGCTCAGTCCATCTGGTTTCAAGATGATCTAATCTATATATATCTATACTAGAGGCCCGGTGCACAAAAATTTGTGCACTCGGGGGGGATGGGAGGTCCCTCAGCCCAGCCTGTGCCCTCTCGCAGTCTGGGACACCTCGGGAGATAACACCCTGCTGGCTTAGGCCTGCCCCCGGGTGGCAGAGGGCAGGCCCAATCCCTAGGTGCAGCCCCTGGTCAGGCTCAGAGCAGGGCCGATTGGGGAGTTGGGGCACTGCCCC